GGTGGTTATTCTTTTGGTAGAAATGCACACGTGGGAATTTAGCCAGGGCACTGAGGTTAGCGCGTTTCCAAAGTTCGTATGATCTTAACGATATGAAATGGTATGGTTCCCTGTACTTGTGTGGGTGAGCACTTGCTTAGCAGAGATAGACGAACCATGCTTTGTGACTTGCTAGTGCCACTTTTCATGGCACCAAAGGTGTTTCTACCTTTTCTGTCCAAAGACTGGCCTGGCATGATCTGATCTACCTTGTCTTAGCTAGTGTGTTCATGCACAGGGAAGTAAAGCTGCAGGAAGGAAATACTGGTTTAGGTGAGCTTTCTGAATGGTGAAATACTCTTACAGACTTCTGAGGCTGTGGTAGAAAGAAGGTAGTAACTGGTGGAAAATAAGAACCTTAAAGTCCTTCAGGATTACTCAAGTCTGATTGGTTTTATTTTATATTGCATTTAGTTAATTCTTTAACATTATTATACTCTTCATGTTATTATAAACTCCACAGCGGACTGTATATACATATAATGTTAGTCCTGCCTGTGGTCCATTCCAGTAATGTTTTAATCAGAGGTTCTTGAAACAGCAATTATTATCTTTAAGAGGAAATCACGGCAGAAATCTTGATTGAATTAACATGTGAAAACCGTAATGGAAACTGTAATGGAGAATGTTAACCCTGTAGGATGCTTGCAGAATTTTCCTTTGTTATTTTATTACATTTGAACAGATAAGTACGTTACGCTTGCTGTGGATAGAGAGGGAGCTGGTGACTGTATAACACACCTGATAGTCTAGTTATGGTGAGAGAAAACTGTTTCTGGTACTGAAGGTACGTAGAGGTATAGTGCTTCAGGAAGGTGGTCCTGCAAACCATACTCTCTCTCACAAAGACTACTAGTCTGAATCTCACAGCAATAGTTGATGGTGCTTCTCACATAGTTTTCTTCAAAACTTAGCCTAGAGCAGGTTTTTTGAGGTCTCACTTCATATTCCAAGGGACAGGCATTTTTATGATAACTTCTGTCAGCGCAGGGCTTGTGGATTTCCTCAGGAGCAGTGGCCTGCAGAGCGGGATAGACCTGCTTTATTCCATTCATACCTAAAAAGCTTTTTTATCTGAAGGAGAAGCTGCATGGGCAGAGGGACGTCTCAATAACTTCTGTAAGGACAGCCAGATTGCCTGTGTCCTGGGCAATGGAAAGAGTTTTGGCTTCCCCCATGTTGAGGCACTTAGTGAACAAAGACGGAACATTGCCTCTGCTTTTGTGAAACGGGGGGCTGGAAGTTTACTGGGGTCTTATGCAAACTGCTGGATAACGTGGTGAAGGGAAAGGTGCTTCCCCCTTTCCTGCTGCTGCCACCTGTGTGGGCCCCCAGGCAGAGTTTGATTTGCAGTCAGCAGTAACTGGCGCTTTTGCTGGGACGCCCTGTGGAGAAACTGTAGATGGTTTCCATTGGCAGAAGCTAAACTGTGTGATGCTCGCAGAGGTCCCTTCAGAGCAGATTTGAGAAAGCTGACAGGGGATCTTGCTCTTCTGGGGTGTCAGTCTGACCTGTCTGTGTGCAGGAGCCCTGGGGAGCTGCAAACCAGGATGCGGCTCATATGGTAGTTGGAAGTTCAGCTAAATTTTACCATAAATGTAATGGGGTATGTGAGAATGTTGGAGAGACAGCCATACAGATGCAGCTCAGCAGAGCATGAGTTATTTTTTTTAGTTCTTCTTTGTATCATAGCTGTTCTCAGAGTTTTGTGCTGTGATTAGCGTGTGCTGTTCACCTCAGTAACTTTCATTCAGGTATCCTCTTTTGTTTGCAGTGGTATCAGAACTGGGGTGGCCTGAGGTAGAGTTACGTGAAACTGCAGTACGATAAGGTTAATTTCTAAAACACAACGGGAGCTTGTCAAAGCCTTGAAGATCATGCCTTAGGAAGCGCTAGCAAATGGAGGGGATGTCGTGTCCCTCCTGGCTGCCGGTGGGGCTGGCTGCTGCCCAGCGGGTGCGTGCAGATCTGGTACTTCAGCCTGCCGTCAGCGACATCGGAGTGATGGCTTTTCCGGCCACCGCAGGCAGACGGCCCATAGCCGTCCTGGCCCCATGAGTGCTCCGTTGCCTGCACCGCTGTCTCCGGAGGGCGGCAGGAGGCTCTGTGCCAGTGGTGTGACAGGCTTCCAAAACTCCTGTGGGATCTACACAGTGTTAATGTGGGAGATTTATTACTCCCTGAGGATTCATAAGCCGCATCAACGAACTTGTTGCAATCCGCATTTTTGTCATGGTCGTAATATAGGGTGGGAGGCTTGAAAGGTTTAAATAAACACCTATATTAAATTTGTAGGTCATAAGGCAACAACAGTCCTGTTAGTTGCTTGCTGTGACTTATTTTTATTGAGTACTTTCCAGAAAATCAAGATCTCTGTCTCCTATATGAAGTAGTAGATAAGAAAGCTGCTACAAATAGTAATCTGTTCTTTATCAGCACTGACTGCTTTCCTTCACCCGCCATAGTCATTAGAAGGTTGTCAACTTCAAAACAAAGAAAAAAGTCACATATATATGTATCCAAACACTGAAGGGCACTGTAAATCTTAAAGATAACCTGGAAGCTGTGTATTTAGCCTTTGCAACAGAAATTGTTTAAATACCATGTTGACCTCACACAAAATTTACATTCTTTTAGTTAGTGTTCTATTTTGTTTAAAGTCGCTAAACACTGTAAATCCCATGTAACAGCACAGCAAAGAACTGTGCACTGTACATCATATTTTCAGACAGATCTTGAGCAAACAAATCTGCTTAGGTTTTTTATTTTTATTTTTTATTACTAGTTCCTATTTTTACAAATCCCCGTGCTTGGAAATGATTTGCATTGTGTCTCTTATTTCAGAATTTACTTCTTAACATGACTGAAATCCAAAGAGGAAGGAACAAAAAATGCTTTTTAAAACAAATTGTGAAGGAAGATGAAGAATAATTTGAAACAATTAAGCCTCTTAAATGAGTTTCTGGTATTGAATGGTTGGTTTTTTTTTGGAAACATAATCTTTTCATCAGATCATATTGGACAAATCTTTAATGCATAACTGAGTTTAAGTCTTTGTGAATATTTCAAGATTTGCAGTGTAAATATGATTTTTGAATTTCAAAGGGGTTATTTCTCCGACAACAGAATTTATTTTATTTGTAATAGTCAATAGAATAAAAAAAAGAAAGAAAAATGTTTAGTTAAACAGATTATCTGATCTTAGATTTTGAAAATATTGCAGTAGAATGTAGTCTGTCTCCCTTCAGAATTTGATCGTCATTGAGACAAGCAGGTCAGCAATTTTTTCCACTTTTTTGGTGTGTAAAACAGAGCACCTGAAATTAATTGCTAGGAATCAAAATAGTAAATTAAAAGTTTTAGAGATGTAAAGAGTATCAAACAGGAGTAAACGACACAAGCTGTTTGTATTGTTTTTAATATAAAAGACCTGAGGAACATGTCCCATGGATTTCACAAAATAAGCTGATCTCTTTCTTTAATGTTCATACAGCAGTGACTGAAAGGATCACATAAATCTGCCCAGTGAAATGTAGTTATTTCATACACATTTGAAAGAGATAAAAAGGGTCCATTTTCCTCTTTACACCCAATGCTGCAGAAATGCATCTGCTCATCCAGGCAGAGGGCAATGTGGAGGGGTGACCAAAGATAGAGAAGGAAGAAAACTTCCAGCACCTGTGCTCCGCAAAACATAGATACGTCGGAAGTTTCAGTCTTCAGATGTGTTATGGTGAAGCTTATCAGTCTAATCCCAATGTGTATTCCCAAGTAAGCCGTTGTGTTTGTGGAAAACATGCACCTAATGTGGAGAAAAACTTGGTATAATGAAATGCAAAGGAAGCATGTGTTTGCATGCTGTGTGTCCAGTCCTGGTGTTAGTTGTTTGGCAATGATTGCTGACATAATGATGCTGGTTTTTGGTTGGTTTTTTTTTTTTCACAATAAATTTGATGGGACTTTCTCTAAAGTCCGTTATTTCTGGCTTGCCAGAAACATATCTAAGGAAAAGGCTACTCAGGGTGTGCTCCAGGTACTGAGTAGAGGTGGCTGAGGTCTTTCTTTGAGTGTCCATCTTGCAAATACTGTTGGGTTCGGTACCTAATACCAGTTGGTGCCTGGTAAACATGTGAAGGACATTGGGACTTAAGGTCCTCAGTGACAGGGTCCTTTTGAAATGTTGACTTAAGTTTTAAAGTCATGGAATTGCCTTTGAAAATACTTTCTTTCTCAGGCATTTGTCAAAAAATTTATGGTGCACACTGCTACCCTTGACTCATGGCTACCCTTGGCTGCAAGAGTTCACATGATTGGGTCCTGTGTTATCCAGTGTTCCTTGGGCATTGATGTCTTTTGGGAAAAAACTGTAAAGAAAGCAAGTTTTTTGAATATTAAAGGTCCTCTGTTCTCATGGGGACCCACACACCTCAGAAGCATATCTTGGGGCTGAGAGAAGATAAACGGCGGGGTTGTAAGAGGGTAGGAAATCACACAGGAATCTTAATCACTGTACCTTTATATTATATTCTTGAAAAAAGCAAACCTGTACACTGTAGTGTATTTCAGTAGCTCTTAAATAACATCCGTGGTGCCATATAGCCTCGCTTGTATGGTTTAGTTGTGTCTGCTCTGTATATTTGTGTCTGAAAATCTAGGGGGATTTAATAAACAAATAAGCCACTTAGTTGCAAGTAGTGTTACTGCTGTCTTACACTGAGATCAATGCAAATATTTTTCTTTCAAATAAGTCGTAGTTTCACAGGGAAAACTGTGAAGTAGAATCTTGAGTAATATTCACAAATTTGGTTTCTTATTTTATCTTAAGTAGTGATATCAGTAATGAATATTGGCTTAACCCTGCTTCAAATTAATTGTGTTCTAATTTTTGCAACATGTTTAATTTATGTTTTGTTTTTTTTCTCTCTCTTTCTCTCTCCTTATTTCTTTCCCCTTTTCTACAGTCCTGGTACCTGGGCTAGCTTGGTTCCTTTTCAAGTATCAAATAGGACACCGATCCTGCCGACAAATGTCCCAAATTATGGTTTGAACATAATTGGAGAGCCTTTCCTTCAAGCAGAAACAAGCAACTGAGGGAAAAACTTAAAAAAAAATAAAAGCAAAAAGAAAAAAGAAAAAAAGAAAGGAAGACAGGACGAGAAAAGAAACTGAAGAGAGAAGAAAAAATAGACCAGCAATTGCAGCTCTTACAATCACTAATTCCCTTATGGTTGAAACTGAAATGACATACAAAGGGTCGATGATATTTCACTGATGGGTAGAATGCAGCCCCTGCTAAGTAGCCTTTGTTATATGAAGTCCGCTGGGAAATAGATGTTCTGTCTCTGACAATATATTTTAACTGACTTTCTAGATGCCTTAATATTTGCATGATAAGCTAGTTTTATTGGTTTAGTATTCTTGTTGTTTACGCATGGGATCACTATTCCTGGTTATCTCACAAAACAAAGGCTAGGCAGCAGCAACAGAGCTGCAGGAGGACAAGGGCCGTGAGCCAGACATTTTCTCAACACTCTGATTTCTAAATGTTTTAAAAATAAGCTCTGTAGCCTTTAGTTATCAGTATGGATTTATTAAACTTTGACCCTTAATTCAGCCTTTTCTAGTGTGTTATGCAGTTTGAAGTTTTCAATCAGTATGAACACACAGGCTCTATGGAAGAAATGCCTCTACGTAGGTAAAAGTGTTATCTTCTCATGCAACAGTAAAAAAGAAAAGGAAAAAAGTGGACGTTTTCCCCACTAAAGAAACACTTACAGAGGCAAGTGCAATTTAAAAAATCGTATCTAAGGGGTCATCACTATAAGTCCTTCAGCCCTTGGACTCTAAATTGAGGGGATTAAAAATAGAAATAAAAATTACTTTGAACAAACTTCTTTTTCCCCTCAGTTTTTGAGGGCATTAAAAGGCATTAATTCAAGACAAATCATGTCCTTGAGAAAAAGAAATCAATGGAAACACAGCACTTATGTTGGTTTAGCTGCTGCCTCCACAGAGGGGTAGAATTTATTTATTTAAAGTTACTGGTTGCATCAAGAACCCATAGGGTTTACACGTTTCTGTAAAATCTGCATCATAGAGACAAAGAGATAGGCAAATCCATGTCACAAGGGCAAAGCTTACCGTTTACAAACTGGTAATACCAGGATGGGGATATGTTATATTTAAATAATGCACTCTTAATGTAAGTCTAATTACAGGGTGCTGAAAACTTGCATGGTGCTTTCAGAAGTTAGCCTTGTTCAACCATTTTCACATATTGACAGAAATATAATGTGCATGGGCAGACATTTTGCCTCTATGTCTCTTTAAAAAAATAATTAAAATACTCTTTCCAGTAATCCTAATTTGCACGAAGATATAATGTCCACATTACGTGCCTTGCCTTGAAATCTAAAAAATGGAAAAAAAGAAAAAAAGAAAAAAAACCACAAAAAAATTGACATCACTACACTTGTTTTGCTGCATTTATTATCATTTTAAATCTTTACCATTTTTATGACAAAATATTTTGTACTCCAGATGGGAAAAAAGTGTGACATCATGGATTTTTTAGACAGTTATACCTTTATCTCACATTTATAAAGCATATCATGGCTGTGTATAGTTGCCGCTTAAAAATTGTAATCGACCAGCAATATTTTCAGTATTTTGGTGTTTTTTCTATTAACCTTTCATGTTTTTCATCTTCCAATTAATATTGGGGGGAGGGGATACAAATTTATACGAATTATGCAATACCAAGTTTTGCCTATGTAGGTAGTGCTTTTAGCTGTATTGGTTATTATAGGTAAGTACACAGATTTAAAAGAAAAAAAAAAAAGAATAATGTATGCTTTTTTTGTTTGTTTTAATTGACCAAAGTGGGTACTGCTATTTTTGCAGTGTGATGAGGTCCTTTTCTGTACTGAGAGGTGGACAGGGGATTTTTTTTTATACATACATATATATATATTCTGGGGTGGGTGGGGAGGATTTTTAACACTTTACAGTGTAGCTGTGAAGCAGTGCACCCTTAGCCAGGCAAGGGCTGCAAAGCGACTGTTCTGCCTACTGTGACAAACTTTCAAATCGGTTCCCTCTTTTTAACTTCCCACCTGGGGTGCAAGCTGAAATCATTTCTGGATTTAAAAAATAAATAATGAATTCTGTTGGAGGCAGACTTGACTTGAGGAAATTGTTTTAGTTTAAGGTTTGTTGTTTTTTGTTTTTTTTTTTTTTCTTGAGAAAGAGAAAGAGAGAGAGAGAGAGACACAGACAGACAGACAAAGAGAGAAAGAGGCCAAGACCCACAGTGAGATGAAGCCTTTTCCATTCTGGCAAAGACACTGCATACTAAAATGTTCACGTTACAAATGTTTTTAGCTCAGAATGACAAAGACACTTGCCTGTCTAGGAAGTGCACGTACAGGGCAAAAATCTTCGCTGGCGTAATTCCACTGACTCCAATTGACTCTGGAGTTGCTCCTACAGAGAATTTGCCTCCCCTAGTCTGCTTGACTGGTAAATATTCCTTATTCCTTTTTTTTTTTCCTATGGCAAAACATTCTCCCCCCCCCCAAGGTTGTTAACTCACAGCATCTGAATTACAATTTTCATCCTGCTCAGGCTGTGTCAGAGGTTTACAGTGTCTTCTTGTACAGCAGGTCAGATGGAGAGCTCTGGGCTGTAGCAGGGAAGGAATTTCTTAATGCATGGAATTAGACTATGATGTAAATAAAAGCGTACTTCCAGTAAAATCACATTTTGCAGATCAGTAGTGGGCCTGTTGCTGGAGGCCTCTTATGCACCAGGGTTCTTTGTGATGAATGACTCAACACAGGGTGAATTTTTCTTAAAAACACACGCTTTTATTAGGGCGCAAGCAGAGGCGAGTATAGACTTGTGGACATGGGATTGCCTGGTTGGAAAATTCATCCCTTTGCAGTTTTCTCTGCATCTTGGAGGTTTTCCTACCATGGAGCAGCCTCGGAGGTGCAGCTCCAGCTACCGGCACCCCACTGAGTGCCAGGCAGTGGCATGCCAACGTCAGTTTCTTGTGGCCCTGGCCAGCGTTAGCGGAAACTAACGATCTGTGGTGGTGGCACATCCCCATGTCTCCTCCTCTCACAGGAGGTATTTTTGTAGGCAGGGCTTGAATGGCTACAGAGACAGAAGCTATAGAAAAGCAAATCTCTGAGATTTACCTATAGTTAAACTGGAAAAAAAGAAAACTCCACATAAAAAGATGAGACGCCAGAAGAAAATGAAAATCAACTTTATGTTGCTGTTTTTCTGAGACTCTTGGTACATGAATCAGTTCACTAAGCACGTGGCTATTGAGATTACCGAAATGTACTGGACCCACCCATAGAGCACTTCAGGCTCTGCACTGATAAAACAAAGTATGTATTTTCCTTTCCATATGCCACTGATAACTGAGCTGTTTGAGAGCAGAGGGATGTGCTGGGGGGCTGTCCTTGCTTAGTCCTGTTAGGAGGGTGTCCCTCTTAGGCTTTTATAGCACACCAGGATGACACTGAAACAAGTTCAGGCTTCAAAGTGCAATAGTCAAAACGATTACTGCCCGTGTAGGAAGATGAGTGCCATTACAGAACTCTTTTGTTATGTCTGACCTCCTGTATGAAAAAAGTAGAGCTTACAGATGCAATATTTCAAAAAGCAAACTCCTTCCTTCCATGTGAATGAATTGGCCTGTTAAGCAACTGTGGGTTTTTTCCACCTGCCTCTCTAATAGAAAAGCCTATTTGGAAGAAAATGAACTTTTCATTTATTGTAGGTTTGGTTTGGGATTGTTAGTTGCTTTTTTTGTTTTGGTTTGGTTTTAAGCTCAGCAGTCAAAAGATTCAGATAAAATTGAGAACTCAAATCCAGTCTCTGGCCTCCTCCTTCACCAGGAAGTGTATTCTGACTAAATCGAGCCACCCCGTTCTATGTGCACTGTTCTGCCTTTATTAAGTTGCTTTGCAGCCCTGGCCTCATGGCTGTGCCACTGAAGTGTGTTTCCCCTGGAGTGACATGAACGTTTGAGGCTTGACTAAGGAAAAAAAAAAAGGCAGTGAAGGAGACTGTACATAAAGACATGGCAAAAATATTAATTATAGCAATATAGTTGTGGGGTGATGTTCAGGTGGGCAGCTCCATTGAAAATATGTGAATGAATCTGTGAAGCTGCAAGTAGCGAGAAGAAAGGAGGATCTTCTGAATGAACCGCCTACCTTGTAGACAGTAATTTGTACACTGTATAGTTTTGTTAAGATTTTTTTTTTTAATTAAAATACCCTTGTTTGTAAA